TGGGGTGGGAGGGGGGGGGGGGGGGAGGGGGTTAAAATATTGGTAATACCAAAACAGCGGAAAGAAAAGTATTGAAAGTTAACTTGTAAGCAGGTTCTTTGACGTTGGATGGATAGTACCAAGAAAGTCCATAAAGCCTAGGCCTATAAAAAGAACAAATTGTAGCTACAGGGTAGTATAGGCCTATATTCATATACTAGTATATCTAGAATGTGGGCCTAAACTGTGTTAAACTGTCTAGATCCTCAATTCGATTCACGATAGAGTCTGTTTATTTAACTGACCTTATGTGAATTTTCGAGTTATTTCCATAGATGTCTTTATTTAGTAAAGACAACGATGTTTATTCTGGGTATAAATAGCACGTGGTAGATCTTTTTATGAAATTCCAATTTTTTCTGTCTTATCCAATATTATTTTATTTCCTATCACTTTTGTCATTCTATATAAAGGGAGTTGTTTAATGAGAGAGGGCACTGCAGGAATCAGGGATGGATCCAGGATAATTTCAGAAGGGGGGAGGCGCGAATGCGAAGCCGACCCCCCCCCCCCCCCCCCCCTTTGGTGAGGGGTTCGGAGCCCGCTGATGAAGGTCCCCGAAAATTTTTGGTATTTTAGAAGTCCGGTTTAGAACTATGATTCAGCTAGTCAAAATCCTAAGTGAGGGGACCATTGGTGTGATTTTTTTTTCAGAAATCGAAGGGGGAGGGGGTCAGGACCCCCCTGACCCCCCTAAATCCGCCACTGTGAATAAATTGATTATCAGTTTTGTCATAGCCAATAATGTTTCCTTCTGTCATCTGAAAAAGCAGAAGAAAAATTTTCATATAATATATATCAAATTGCGCTGACAATATTGGCAAAAACAAAAAAGATATGTGCCGATAGGCCTATAGGCCTATTTAATTATAATCGAATAATGATTGGTGTTTACGGAATCACGGAAACACTGTTGGCCTTAAAAATTGTATTCAAAAATATTTTGTATCTTTCTGGCAGAAGGAAAACAGAAAAATAGAAATGGTAGACAACTCCCTTTCCTTCTAAAACAGCAGCCCACTATAACTTTTACACAGGTGAAGCATGAGAACGCTATTTCGATAGCAGATGTTATTATATGGCACTCTCCAGTATCTATCATTAATTTGATACGGTTTGATAACGTTGTTTGTGCTAGCTCAGCTCTGATAAAAGCGCTGGCGAAAAAGGCACTGAAACGAATCTAAATTTGGATGGGGTTACGTTGATAATGCTATTTCGCGTTCGCTGAGACACATTAGAAAGTTTTAGATATGACTAAGCGTATCCTTTCTTGAAATAGGGATTAATAGTGTCTAATCGAAGAAATGTATTCAGATAGTTTCAAGACGGGGAAAGATCAGCAGAATGATTGACTTAGTTAAAACGAATCAACAAATGAGTTGTTCGACCTCCATACGTCCAAGCGTGTCGTGACTGGTGACCAGACGACCAGTGTGTTTTGAAGGGCGAGCTGACAACTTCTCATTCGACAAAATATTTATCACAAGCAGGGAGTCGGCAAATAGTTTGTCCTGGTGGCATAATTAGGCTGTCCTCATATCTAGACTATTCATCAGGGAAATAGACCACATATAAGACTTACATGCACAACCAGCATTTTAACTACACGGTTTTTAAATCGAAATAGGATTGTATATTATGGTGTACGTAGCTAGGCTACTTTCCTAAACTTGATGATATTTCTGGCCTACCTGACGCACCTGCCAAATCCGTAATATGTATCGATCACGGGAATACGGCATTTTGGAAAGGCCAAGGAAATATTTTGGCACTGCTCCTCTCTTTTTAAGCAAGACTCGGGTTGGATGGACTGTATGCCGTGTATACATCTTTGGGAATGGATACGCGACCCAGATGGTTTAGTAGAAGACCAGCCAAACAACGTCCGTTTCGATGTTGATTCGGAAAACGTACAAATTGACTTACATTCGGATATGGCACAGAAAGTGCTTGACGTTGAAACATTGTTGAACATCACGCCTATCACGGGTGAAAGTACCGACACAGTTCAGAACGCCTGTAGGGACGCCTTAATACAAATAGTCAAGAACCAGAAACCTGTTCACGAGACATTTTTCTCATTGTCATCTCCTCATTCTGTGGAATCTCGTTTAAATGCCGAATATTTTGAATTGGATTATTTAGCCACGATCTTTACCTGTCAGGCATTAGCATATGGGAATGATGAGTTCAAGTTCCATACCATGATTGATGCCAAGAAAGTAGAGGAAAAACTGCGCGATATTTACGAAGGCCTACATTGGAAAAAGCTAGGTGAGTCACTGTTGTATCCTGTTGTTTTTATCAGGTGAACGAGATTTTAATGAACGTCCGTATACAACGTTTCCAAAATAAACATCTTTTCAGTCTACTAATTTTGGTGGAGCTCCTCATCTTAATAGCACTTTCGGTTTTGGGGATAAAGATTGCCCTACCCCTCTCTTGATTGTAGAACTTGGATTTATTTGGAGATAAACGAGGTATTATCAACTCAGAATATTGACCAGATATTTCATGATAGCTGTCACCAGATTAGGCCTACCGTGAGAAAGGTGTTGGACTGCAGGGGGTGGGTTTGGTAATCCTTAAAACCTTAATTAGTAAGGCCAGACAAAATTGAAAAGTTGGTGAACGTCACAATGCATGGTCGATAGACAAAATTCATTTTTGTTTTGAAACATACCGGTAGGCTATAATGTTAAACGAACATGTAAGCTAAATTTAAGGACTGATATTTTTCCTGTGGAGGAAATATATGAAGTCTACAATGTTGGTGATTTTGGACCATAAAATCATAAAATTGTAAATATCCCCTGCATACCAGACCAATAAGCAATGTATTTTCTCTATCTGGAAAAAAATGATAAGTGTGTGCAAAAAAAAAAAAAAAATTATTTCCTTGATGGAGGTTGGTCGCGCTCGCTATCGTTAATTTGTCCCAGTGTAACGAAACTGAGGGTCAGTGTAACAGAAAGTCCGCCCTCCACTGAGTTATAATGGTTAGCCTGACCTAACTGGGTCAAAATCTACGGCAAGACTTACCTGTACATATGGCTGGGAGGTGGACTCTCTGTTATGGGGGACTCTGTCACGTTTCACCGGTTAAGACGTCGACTAATTGATTGTTTGGGGTTACTAACTACTGGAGATGCTAAAATGCTTCAATTACAATGCACCTGAATGATTTTACATAATAAGATAAATATATTCAATGTGATGAAAGCAC